CCCCCCCGCCCGGTCCTCCGCGCCTCCGAGGTGGCCGCGTCCAAGCAGAGGCCGCTGGTGGACCCTGCTGACGCCCGGCGGCCGGGCAGCGCCGTAACACACGCGAGTGTGGCGGGCTGGCCTACCCTCCGCCGCGCACGGCGCTCGGCTGGCGCTCGGCCGCCCGCCGCACGTGCTGCACTGATACGGCACTCCAAAGTCATACGCCTTTCTTGTCCGAGACGAAGCTTCGCAGGGCCAAGGGTCGGGCCATCAGGATCCACGATGCCTATGGTTCTTCTCTTACTAGACGGCGCCCCGCGCGTCTGCGGCCGCCGCCGGAGGATGGCCGGCAGACACGGAGCTGGGCGTGCATGCACTGCACCCGCGGACCCAAGCCCCTTCCCGGTACCGGCGGGGAGCGGGGAGGGGAGGGGAGGGCTCAGCTCCGCGGGTGCAGCGGGTGCCCACCACCCACCGCGGCCCGTCGCCGGCGGTAGCGGCGGTAGCAACGGTAGCAGCCGTACAGCGGGAGCATCTGCCCGGGCCGCCGCTACCGCCTCGCGGCCAGCCGGCCGGCATGCCGCCGGGAGGGGAAAAGCAAAAGGGAATTTTCACGCCCCACATGTCAAATCTCGTTGGCGGGGCGGGGGGCCCGGGGCCCCGGGGCCCCGTATATAAGCGAAGGGGCGGCTGCGGACCGGCAGAGTGAGCCTAGCGCCAGGAGTGCAACAGCAGCAGTGCAGAGCAGCAGCAGTGCAGTGTAGTGTAGTGCGAACATGTTCTCGTCAGTGAGTGTGCTCCTCGGGGTGGTGGTGGCCGTCGCGGCCCTGGCGGCCGGCGCACCGTCAGACGGCTGGGCGCCCTCCAGCCAGAGCCGAGCCTTCGGCGCCTCGGCCTCCATGGCGAGGCGGAGCTACTCCGTCGCGTCACCCGCCAGCAACCGAGTCGCCCCCGTGGCGCGGGCAGCGACCCCGGCCCCGGCCAAGCAGGAGGAGGACGAGGACGTCGAGGAGGCCGCCGATCAAGACGACGGCCCCGAGGCGCGCGCCGCTGCCCAGAACGAGGTCGGCGACGAGGATAGCTGGTTCAGCTGGCTGATGCCGTCCGCCGAGATGAGAGTCGTCGGCAAGGTTTGGGACGACTGCGCGGCCCGAGACGACACCACCACCTGCCTCAAGGGCAAGGCCCTCACTTTCCTGGACCGCGCCGCCACCAAGGACAACCTGGCGCTGCCCGGCGGCCTCGCTCTCGTCCGCACCGCCAGGGACTCCGGCGCCGCCAAGGCCCCCGTCAACGAGGCCGAACTCGAGGCCAGCCTGCCCCGCGATCTGAACCAGCGCGACTCCAAGCTGGACCAGATGCTGCTCGACAGAGTCCTTGGCTTCGTCCAGACCCACGCCCTCCGTTTCAACCTCGCCGAGCAGGGTGAAGGTGAGTGTCTAGGCTACGCTGATGACATTGCATGACCTTTCCTTTGCACACTTCTTTTGTTGATTAACGACAGTGTGCCGTGTGTGGTGGGTTTGCTACAGTTTTCCAGTGAGGCAAATCCCAATCGCTTAGATGAAAATTAGTAATATTATATTTTGATTAATTCCAAGCCTTAAAAAATCAGAATTCCAATTAAGATGAAGGAGGATTGGTCAATTTCTTGAATAGTAGGTGGTCTGTCAAAAATCTGCGCCTGTTGTTCGAAGTCACGACCATGTGTTTATTGGCATTTTTGGAAGCATCACGCGTGTCCGGCTAAGAGGGGAAGGGGGGGGGGGGTCTCTGTCCCCTGCATGTCGCGCTCCGCTGGCGACACTTTCCAACTGAATGTGGATGGTGGGTGAGATCATACGATCACCGCTAGACTGCTCCTCTCGCTTGATGACTTTGCCAGATAATAGATTTTAGGACGCGTGGCGCGTGGCGTTGCGTTAGAGAAAGCTAAACAGTGTGATATGCAAATCAGAGCAGCACCGCCACTCATTTTCTTGTTCCATCGTAGTTACATGTGCACACTTCTTAAAGATGTTTATCACGCCTGAAAAATGTTTAGTCTCAGTAAGATGGGGGAAAGGGCTAACCGGTCTGATAGTTTGCTAGTTAACTCCATGCCAGGTGCATCAGTGTTTCTTTTTTGCTTCGACACTCCTTCGCCCCTTCCTATCCTCTGTCCTCTTTCCTCTCGAGGGAACGTTACCACATTGCATCCCCTCTCTCTGTCCCTCTTGCAGAGCGAGGCATTAAGAAGAAGAACCTCCTACCCTACCTGCTCCTCAGCAAACTGGTGGCCTCCTCCATGGTGGTGACCGCCGCCAAGGCTCTCACCATCCTCGCGGTCAAGGCTATGATGGTGGCCAAGACCGCTCTCCTCATCTCCGGCTTCGTGGCGCTCAAGAAGCTAACGCTCTAGCCCAATCTAACCCAACCGGGTCCCTAAGCCTTCTCTCTCTCTGTCCCTCTTGCAGAGCGAGGCATCAAGAAGAAGGACCTCCTTCCCTATCTGCTTCTCGGCAAGCTGGTGGCCTCCTCCATGGTGGCTATGGCCTTCACGGGGCTGGCCCTGCTCGCCGGCAAGGCCCTGATGGTGTCCAAGATCGCCCTCCTCCTCTCTGGCGTCGTGGCCATCAAGAAGCTGTTCAGCGGCGGCCATGGTGGCCACAGCGGCAGCCAGGTCGAAGTGTTCAACGTGCCCAACCACGGCCGCTCGCTGGACGCCAACGACGGTGACTCCCTCGCCTACCGCGGCCAGATCCAGCGCCCTGCCACCAGGAGGTCCTAGAGGCAGAGCGGAGAGGCGTTCAGAGAGTAGAGGGCAGGGCGATGGTGACCGGCCGAGGAGGAGGACGCCCCCGAGGCCACGAGAAGCAGGAGGAAGGGGCTCCTCTACGCGCGCCGCGCTGCTCCGCTGCAAGAGGACGAGAAGAAGTCCCTGCTCGCTGTCTAGTCCCGCTATTCTACGAGTCTCTCTCCTGAAGAGATCTCCATACTTTCTTTTCTCTCTAATCGATTCGTAATCTGTTTTTCCCCGCAGTGTGCGTGCCTCTGGGGCCTGCGCATCGCATCTGGCTGGCCAGATGTTGATGATGATGATGATGATGATTCCAGTCGCGCCATTGTTTCTCTCTCAGGGCGCGTTCGAGAACGCCATCCTAGTCTCTGTATCCCCCCCGCCGTCCACTCCTGACGGCGGACAACTCGTTCTCGAACGCGCCCCTATCTCGCCACGCTCGCTGCACTGGGCGCGTTCGCAATTTCGCTCGCGCGCGTCGCGGCACACATCCGGACGGACTTGCGCGCGCGGCGGTCAGAAACGGTAAGGAACCTGCGGGCGGCTAGGCGCGTATAGCTGCGCGGGGCCCCGCCCCCCGGGCGCGTGGGCCGTGTGTGCGGAACGGGCTCGGCTGCGGAACGCGCCCGCGGGGCCCAGCACGGCACGCCGCGGCACGGCACACTTCGCCTGTGACTGACCACCGCCGTCCGATAAGACGCGGCCGCGCCGCCCAGCAAAGCAGAACGCACCCGCGATTAATTGGGCGCGGAGAGTAGTGCGGAGCGTGGCCAACACCGTCCTCATCTCCAGCCGCTCTCTCTATCCCCCTCGCTGGGTTTGTGTGCCACTCGATACCCCTCTCCATTTCTCTCCACCTCCCTCTCTCTCTATCTCTCTCTCTCTCTTTCTCTCTGTCTCGCCTCCAACGACCCCCACTGAACTGGTTGAACGTTACCCCCGGCGACGCCACCCCCTTCGTTCTTGTCCCATCCGATACCACAGAATGACGTACCTGACTGCTGCTGACTACTTGGGTGCACGGGGTCGAGGGCTGCGGAGGGACGCACGTGTATAGCAGGGCCGCAGGGCCGCGAGTCGCTGCCAACTTGTGGAACGGAAACTGCATCGTCTTGTCGTTTGGGTTGGCATCGGCCCGCGTCCCCAGTTTCTTCTCGGCGCTCAGTCCCATGCTGGAGGAGCCTCCCCCGGTTTGCCGGCCGATCGCAAACCCTGGCGTGCTGAGTCGCCCGACCTGCACAGCGGTATGGACCCGCCCCTACCCCCGCCCCCGATACACCCCGCAGATAGACAAACGTCCAGATCCCCATCAGCACCCCAATAACTCCGGACTTCATTCTGTGATCAGGACACGAGTCCGCTCAGACTACGACCAACCATAAACCCCCTGACGGATTCTATACCCGCTGCCAAACGGACTGAGTTACCTTCTTTAGGGAAGGCAACTTTCTGACTGACTTGTGCGACCAGATGACGTATTTTTATTTTCTGGTTCGGACGAGACGTAGAATATTTTTGACTGATTCGAACAGATTTGAACGTCACAAATCTGTCTAGATTCGTCTCGGAAGTCTTGCCGAGTCGAATACTTTGTGCTCTTGACCTTTCGTCCTTCCCGCCCTATCCCTCTGTACTTCAGGTGTTTACGCAGTAACTTTTCCCTCCGCCTGTGTAAACTTGTTTCTCTGAAATTCTATCTTGCCAATGTTTAGTCAATGTGTTAATTTATTTTATTTATTGAAGAACGTGTATATGTTTAAATTATTTTTGTTGCTTTGT